ATACTGCAATTATTTCCGTTGCATCATTCAATGACAAAAAAAGTAGGTTCCAATTCCTAATTCCTGAATAATAAAGAAAAAATTCCATAACATAATATTTAGATGATATTACCATGGCATAGTTAATACAAAATTACAAATAAATATCCTTGCAATTATTTAGGATTCCAATAAGCTTACCTCAACATAAGTTTGCATCTTCATCATTTCTACTTTGTTTCCTATATATTATATACATCAAATAATTCAACCTAGACAATATAGATTTCTATAGACTGATTGTTACCATGTGTTTGAAGCTTCAAAATAAATAAATAAAACATAAAAGCAACTTCGAAAAAACCTCAATCTCAATTTCTGTCACAAATTTTAGTCAATATCTAAGAAAGAATTGGATGTTTGAAAAATCCAACATATAACTATTTCACGTCTAAACCAAAATTTGTCCATTCGAAATAGATATATTGTTGTGAATTTATTCCCGGATCGATGGACTTTACCTAACAAACTTTGTAAACGTGAATAAAAATATTAGTGGGAGTAAATTCGAAATAAAATCCAAATTAATAATACCGAGATGAAATTGAAATTAAATATTATTTTAAAGCTAAAAAGACAATGTGCGAGTAAGAAATTAAGAGTAGAAGATATCCACACAAGAAATGCCCTTAAATTGAGAGTAAAGCAAACTTCTATGATTTGAGTGATTCACGCACGAGACAAGAAACATATTACAAAATCTGTTCGATATTCTACAAAAAGTTATCCACTAACGACTTCAATATCAATGTAGCTGACGACGGACAGTGATGGCAGCTCCGAGCAGCAGCTGTTCTCCGGCGATGAACAACATACCTGCGGCGTCTTCCTTCACCGACGACGACACTGTTGGGCTTCCTTCCAAACAGCTTCGGCAGAACAACATCAACTTCGATCCTTCTCCGAAAGAGTATAAATTCACAACTGTTACTAACCTTCAAAAACCCTAACATCTGTCGGTTTTTGTTGGAGACGTTACAGAAAGGATGACGTCTTTTTCAAAATGGAGAGATGCCTATTCGAGATTTGAAATTGGAGACCGGATAATTGTTCGAGATCGGCGAACAGTGGGCAAGCGGATGACGGCTTCGATTTTGCAGGCACCGGTTTTCTTCACTTCGATTTTGCGGTGGAAAAAACGACCGATTTTTGGCGATTACAGAGTGGAGAGGAAAGAACAAGGAAAATGAAAGAGGGACTGAACTGTAACGATTTTGTCCAAATAGGAATTTATATCCAATTGTGCGATATTTTTAAGTATTTATATTTTTTTTAAAATTTAATCTAGTGAGAATAATCAAATATAAGATTAATTTATTTTAATTATAATTATATATATACATAAAATAATGATTGTATTTATATTTGTTTTACTAATATTGAATTAAAAAAATAAAAATTAAATTATTATATAAGCTTTTAGACTCGTAGACTACAAAAGCATAAAAATGGGTCAAACTCAAACTTTGGTCCCTTAAATATAGGCTAATATGTGAGATTCAGACCTTAAATTTTCAAAATAGACCTGATCTGTTTAGCCAAAGTTTAATCTGTCATAGCCTATTTCTGTTCTTACCCGCAGCTTGCATAGATTGACTTGTTTAACCTTGCTTTTAAAGGGTCTACAAAATTAAAATTTAATCATTTTTAAAAGTGAGGTGGGGCGGGCTAATTCAAGGGGTTCAAAACATTTTGATAACTCTAACTTCATATTAAAATTATACACTACCTCCGTCGTAAAAAATAGACTCAAAATATTTTGACACTAAATTTTAATATAGTGCGTACGTTTTTATTTTACTTTTGTCATTTATAGTAAATATATATAATTTTTTATTAAAAAAATAATTACTCCCTTCGTCTCAGGTACCGTGTCCCTTTTACTGTAGATTTGAAAATTTAGGAGAAGTATAATCAGTAAATAATTAAAAATTTATTAGTGAAAATAACTATTATCTAATAAAAATAATTTTAAATTAAGATGAAAATAACTAATTAGTATAATTAAAATTAAAAAAAATAAATCAAAAATTTTAAAATAAGATTAAAGTGTATAATATTTTTCCAAAAAAAAAAGTGACAAAATAAGTAGGACATACGAAAATAAAAATATGGACACAGTAGGTGAGACAGGGGAATATATTTTTAGATTACAGATAAAAAAAATAATAATTATTTTTTTAGACTACGGAAAAAGAAAAAGTAATAATTATATCTATTAATTTAAAAACAAAACTGTTATTAAGAACATAAATTAAATTAATTCAATGAATAAAAAACTAAAATTGTTATTTCAAAAATAAAAAGACTAGATTGACGAAAATATATTTACCAAAAAAACACTTCAAATTTAGACAGTAAATAAACACACACACCCTCTTTTTTATAGTAAATTTTATGGATAAAAAAATTACTTTACATTATATAATACTAACTCACCCGTGCCATCTAAGATCATCTCCAACCCATTCCTTCATTTTTGCAGTAGTTACAGTAAAAATGCGGTTGATCTACAGTAATTTTACTTCGACCATAAACTTCAATTTTTCACTCTAAAAAGTATATTCCATATATATTCCTCTTTTATATTAGTTTACATAACCTTTTATATTTATAAATTACACCCCAACTTTAATTTATTTTTACAATATAACCCAAATATATATAATTACACATTATTTTTAAATAACTATATAATTATATATCACTTTTCGAAAGGTAAAATTATATATCACTTTAAAAAAAAATAAAATTATACATTATTTTTAAAAAATAAAATTATATCACTTTTCAAAAAATAAAATTATACATAATTTTTCAAAAAAATATAATTACACAATATATCCCAAAAAAATAACAAAAATACACCAATACTACAAAAACACCACACAAACTCCACTCCAAAAATGGAGTGAAGTGTACAGTATAGAGTAACACTGTAGCAGGCTGAAAAAATGGGGGTAAATTGTATTTGTTTTAACACATTTGAATTTAATATTATAAAAATACAATACATATTATATATTCAGTTTATTCATTCGATATTTTTAAATAGAACAATTCTCTATATATTATTAAAGAAATAAAAATATACACACATTAATATGATATATTATCCATTAATAAGAAGTCAATTATTTAATATAAAATATTATTTTTTATATTATTAGTACAATTTTTCGTATCCGATATAAAAATCAATTCATATAAAAACGCTAAGTGAACAAACTGATTATTTATATTTTATTTATTCATATAAAATTAATATTTTAACATAAAATATTATTCTTCCCTCTTTAAACATATTCATTTATAGTTTACATAATTTTATATTTCATTTATTTGTATAAAGTTAATTTTTAATATAAAATATATTATTCTTTCGGCTTTTGATGTATTTATTTATTTTTTATATTATTTTATATTTCATTTATTCATATAAATATAATTTTTTAATATAAAATATTATTCTTCCGGCTTTTAATACATTCATTTCTTTTTTATATTATTTTATTTAATATTAAAAATATTTTTGTATTTATATAATATTTTTTACAAATATTATTGTAATTGTATTATATTGTACTAATAAAAGTATATTTGTTATTTTTTTTTCTTAATTTGTACTTCGTATAAATATAATATTAGTATTCAAAGTTTTATACGTAAAAAAGAATAAATGAATACCTAATTAAATGTAATATTTTTTAATCATTGTATATATTAGATTGTGTTAATGTATATATACATCTTTTAATAATCCTTATGAAAATCATTCTATTAAAAAACATTTGATGAACAAACCTAAAATAGCTATGTAATATAATATTAACATTTAATGAATACAATAAAAATTGAAGTGTGTTTTGTTTAGTATTTTGATTTAAAAAAATATATATTATAAGTTACGAGTAAATGTATTAGTAATATAGAAATATAGAAATTTATATTTTATCGTATTAAATTATAAAATTTTTTTATAAGTTAATAGAGAATATATAAATATATTTGCTTATTATATTTTTTTTACAATATTAATTGAAAATTACATCAGAAAAAATTATCGAGTGAACATATTTAGGGATATTTAGTTTTGATTTGAATATGAAATTTAGAATTTGTTTATTCATAATTTTTTTCGAAAACGAATCCTTTAGTGTGTGTATATATATATTTTTTAAAATAAAATATTAAACAAATAAACCCTTAATTTATGTAGCATTTTCATATGCTAGTTTGTGCTCAATAACCAATTTATTTTTATTAAAAATCAAAATAAAATAATATATTATTTAAAATAAAAAACAAAGAATTACAAAAATTCCAAATCCAAATGGTGTGTGAAGTCCCCGTGCACCCTCCCGCACCCGAGTACAACTAGGGGTAACAAAATATTCGAAATCCGAAAATTCAATCAGAATCAAACTCAAATTTAAAATTTGGTTCGAATTTTTCGGATTTTCGAATTAGATTGGATTGAATTTTTAACAAATTTCGGATTTTCGGATCAAATCGGATCGGTATACTTAAAATCCGAACCAATCCGAAATACGAAATATAATATTTTAATATTATTTTTTATTATATATATTTAATATTTTATTAGAAAATATTATATTTTAATATAAAAAACTGAAATTTATTAATTATATTTTAATATATTCAATTTTAATATATTATATATATTTAATAATAATAAAATATAAAAGAATTTAAAAATTTTAAAAATAATAATAAAAATATTTAAAATTTCGAATTTTTTGATTTAATTTGAATTTTTTAATTCAATTTTCGGATTTCGGATTTCGAATTTCGATTATTTCAATTCGGTTCAAATTGATTTTTTCAAAAATTTCATATTTTCGAATTGATTGGAATTTTGTCAAATAAGAACCGAAAATACGAATGCTAAAACCCTGATCCAGAAGATTCAAAATCCGCCGGACCAATCCCCCGCCCAATATTATAGTGGTCTCTCCGCCCCTCTCTCCTCTCCTCACTGCTTCTTCGTCTGTTTCTGCAACCGCTTCCCATTCCCCTTTTCGGATTCCGTTGCCCTTCCAATCTCTACCTCCGATGCCGTCGCAACTCAAGCCACAACTTCCTCTCGACGCCGACGGCGTTTGTATGCTCTGCAGAGTGAAGCCGCCGAGCGAGGCGACTCTCACTTGCGCCATGTGCGCCGCTCCCTGGCACCTCGAATGTGTCGCCGTCGTTCCCGACTTGGGGTTCCAGTGGCAGTGCCCTGATTGCTCAGGGGATGGGCTCGACGGCGCTCCGGCGCCCACGGATTCGGAGAACAAGGATTTGTTTGCCAGGATTCGGGAGATTGAAGCGGATGCTTCGCTGTCGGATAAGGAAAAGGCGTGGAAGAGGCAGCAACTGCTGTCCGGGAACACGGATGGAGAGAAGGACGGGGAAGGGGAAGTCGGCGGGGAGAAAGGCGGAGATATCTTGGGAGTGCTTGGGGACAGCTTTAAGTGCTCGTATTGCATGGATCTACCTGAAAGGCCGGTTACGGTAAGATTTGTATAGGATCGCTGAATGATTTGGTGGTCATTACTCGTTTTTGTTTTACCTTTTAAATTTATAAAGTATGTATTTTTTTAAAGAACTTTTACAGAGATTTGTGGTTTATTTAATTGTATCTCGTTTTGATATTCAATCTCTGTTCTGAAACTCAGACACCATGCGGACACAATTTTTGCTTAAAATGCTTTGAAAAGTGGATCAAACAAGGAAAGAACACTTGTGCAAAATGTCGCGGGATCATTCCCAGGAAAATGGCTGTTCAGCCACGGATTAACTCCACCCTTGTATTTGCTATAAGAATGGCAAAGCTGTCGAGCTCAGTCACTACTGAAGCGACCCAGATTGTTGATCGCTTTGTGCATAATCAAGACCGTCCTGATAGGGCGTTTACCACAGAAAGGGCACAGAGGGCTGGGATGGCCAATGCTGCCAGTGGAAGAATTTTTGTCACTGTCCCAAAAGACCACTTTGGACCTATCCCGGCATATCATGATCCAGAGAGGAATCAAGGGGTTTCGGTAGGAGAGTCTTGGGATCTTCGAATGGAGTGCCGGCAGTGGGGTGTTCACTATCCTCCTGTAGGTGGCATCAGCGGAAAGGCACACTATGGTTCTCAGTCAGTGGTAATTTCAGGAGGATACGAGGACGACGAAGACCATGGGGAATGGTTTCTCTATACTGGAAGGTATTGTTGCAATCTTTGTTAATTTTTGTCCTCGGTCATGAGTATTATGGAGGATCTTGTTAAAGATATTGTCTAAACTTCAGTGATCTATTGTTGATCCAAAGTCATGGTTATGTTCTGCAGCCAACATTATCTCACATGATGGTAAACATTTTGAGTTACATTTAATTCTGCGGCATAAAACTTCTCTATTCTACTGTATCTTCTTCGTCGTATATGTACAAGTTTTCTGTATGCTCTTGTATTGTGATTGTTTTATTAATACTGTTTGACTATATAGTCTTTTTGTTCATTAGGGTAATAACATGCTTTCATTAAGAAGATATTAATTTTGTATCCCTTTTCTGCGGATGACAGTGGTGGAAGGGATTTAAGTGGAAACAAACGTACTAACAAAGAACAATCGTTTGATCAAGAGTTCAAGGACAAGAATCAGGCTTTGCGTGTAAGTTGTGAGAAAGGATATCCAGTTCGCGTTGTAAGGTAATGCTTGCTTTTATTTAGGGTGTAACAAATTATATATTCTAAGTAACAGACATGTAGTTTTTAACTATTGACTTACTTTACTCTAATTAGAAGTGAAGGATGTATGAAGGTGTGCTCAAGTGCACTTAGGAATATTAGAATGGTTTTAAACTAGTTAACTTTAGAGATTGACTAGTTCCATATGATGCCATATGTGCAATGAAACATTCCTTGGTCAATGTGTATGTTCACTATCAAATAAAACTTAATTTCTAACTTTATGATAAAATATTATTTATAAATAAGCCGCTTTTAAAATTCTGTTCAATATTATTTAATTAAACATACTAAGATAATGTTTCATTCACCATTGAAGACGTGCATCCAAACTAAGTACGTTATTTGAGAAACATAGCAGTCATATATGGTAGAAATTCTCATTTAGCCATATGATCACATGTAATCGCTTTGTTGTGGATTGCTAGCTTATTGTTGTTGTACATCCTATCTATCTTTAATCATTTTTTCTTTTCTTTCTACCGATTTTGGAAAATAATTTAATATCAGTTCCTTGTCAACTAGTAGTCTGTCTCTGTAGTTGCTCCTATGTCTATAATCCACATTCCTATGTTTGGCCTTTGATCCCTTTGGTGATAAATTATGACTTTATGATAACCAATGCGATTGATCCTATCTTTTTGGATGATGTTGATGATTGCAATGAGTGGTTAAATAGAGCAACATAAGAAAATTAAAGGCTTGCCAAAGATGAGTTAGTTTTTGGTGATGACTATTTAATTGGGGGAGTTGTTGCTACATTGTTGGAGCTAACGAGCCGGCTCTCTACAATAGGTAACAAACAACATTAAAAAAGGAAACAATTACTATTTTAGTTCTAAAACGTGGAAGGTCATCATGCAATATAAAGAAAAATAAATGAAAGTAGATGAAGTTGAATGGAAAGAATACATATACAAAAGTAGTGTTGTGGAAAGAAAAAATGAAGACTGATACTGTTATATCAGTAAACTGTTGGTTGCCAACTGTCGCTATCTGACATTCCAATCTACCGTCTTTCCTTCGATTGTGTGTGTGTTATGGTATCTAAAAATAAAAATACTATGATATACAATAAATGCCCATACTTAATGTATTACTTAGATTAAATAAAAATATGAAAGGTGCTTTGAATAGGCACATGACGGATTCCTTTATTACCTCATATGTACAAATGAGTAGATAGAAAACTGCATGAAAAAAAAAAAAAAAAAAAAACTGCATTAAGTTATGAGATTCTTAAAATTTATATTTAAAAGTATTATGAAAATTCTACAATGTGTTTTGGTTGTAATAGTGTTGATGCTTGGTCCAAACACTGCTAAAATGAAGGAACTTGGTATTAGTCATGAAGGTGTTCTTTTATACTAGAGATTTTGCACAGCACCTTGTTAATAGCTTACCAGAATTATTTACTAATCTTATCAACCCATTAAAAAAAAATATTATGTACTCACATTTTTCTGAACAGATCAGAGAAAGACAAGCGGTCTTCTTATGCCCCAGAAAAAGGGTATCGATATGATGGAGTCTACCGGATAGAAAAATGTTGGAGAAAAAAGGGAAAGCAGGTAAACCTTTTTCCATGCTACTGCATGCTTTACTTCTTAGCAGCCCCTTCTTGTAAACTTGTATTTTTTGCTTCAGGGGTTCATAGTCTGCAGATATTTGTTTGTGAGATGCGACAATGAACCGGCGCCCTGGACAAGGTTCTGCTTCTTGCTAGTGTGCTGCTACTATGTTATATCATATATGTAAAAGTTCTATTGATTCAACCATTTACTGATTCTGGCAGTGATGAGCTTGGGGATCGGCCAAGATCTTTGCCAGTCATCGCCGAGCTAATGAAAGCAATTGATATTTTTGACAGGAAGGAAAGTCCCTCATGGGATTATGATGTGAGTTAACTTTGTGTTTTAATTGTCTTGAACTGGTATGAGGGTCCATAAGAATATTATTTGCTGCACAGATATAGCAAAAGGGCAGCTAGCATGGATGTAATGACCAATTTCTAAGCCTTTAAATGAATTAATTACGCAACAAAAATGAATTCTCTTGCTCTATATTTGTTTGTTTAAAGATGCTTGATATATCTATAGTATTAAAATTGAGTTTAAATTCAATATGTAATATACTTTCTTCACATTCTTCTGGCCTTTTTTATTTCCTACAGGGTTTTTCTTTAATTATCAATCTGATCATATGTATATTTTGAGCAGCAATTATATAATTATTCATTTTATGTATTTTGGTGATTGTAGGTGGGGGAATGTTCCTGGAAATGGAAAAGGCCACCACCTCGTAGTGAAGAAAAAGTTGTCACTAGTATTACTGAGGAAGGCCAGACTGCGAGGAAGGCAAGGAGGAAATTACAAACTGTTTCTGTCGCAGAGAGGCTTCTTAAAGGTTCGAAATCTAGACTGCCACATGCTAGCACATGACGAGCATACAAATGTGATTCTATTATTGATTCAGTGTTTCTCAGTTTGATCTGATTGGTGATTTGTTGGGTCTTACTTTTTTTATGCATGAATGTGAAAGTATATCCCTTCAGTTCTCATACTGACATAGCAATATTCTTATATGTGTTTGCTAGTTTTAACAAGTAAATCTTCATATCTTTTATACTTATTGACTGCTCGCATGCAGGTTTTAGTTGCCTTATTTGCCACAAGGTGTTGAGCCAACCTCTGACAACTCCTTGTGCGCACAACTTCTGCAAGCTTTGTCTCCAAGATGAATTTTCCGGCCAGTCGTTTGCAAAAGAAAGGGTCTGCCACAATGGAAGAAAACTTCGGTCGCAAAAGAATGTGATGAAATGTCCAGCATGCCCAACTGATATATCTGAATTCCTCCAAAACCCACAAGTATGGTCTGCTAACAATTATTCTATCATTTTTGGGGATTCCAATGTTTCTATAGTAGCATTGCTTCTTGTATATTCCAACAGGTTAACCGGGAAATCATGGAGGTGATAGAAAAACTGCAATTGGAAGTTGACAAGGATAAGGAGAAAGCTGGCTGCTCATCTGCCGAAGAAAACAATGCCGCCACTGAGAACAATAACTCAACACCAGAAGCAGATGCAGCTAACGTATCAAATGAAGAAAGTTCGTGGAAGAGAAAAAGCAGCAGCACATGTCACCTTGCCCCCGAGCATGAGGAGAGCGAGGTTTCCAAGAGAAGTAAAGTTGGCGATCCTGAGACTGTGATTGAATCCCATGTATCATCGTTAGATAATCCTACTGGCTGTGAAACTGTCTCAGAGGCGACCCCAAAAAGAGGCCGTGGCAGACCAAGAAAAAATAGTTCACAAAAGGGAGCACCAAAATGCACAACAAATGGAGTGATCAATAAGAAAGCTCCAGAATCAGCCGAGGGTGGAAATATTTTCCCTGCAAGTCCTTTGCATCTTAGGTAACCTTTTCTCTACATGTTAGTAACTTTTGTTTAAGAGTGGACATTCCTCTGTTATTAAACATTCTTCGAACATGGAAGTTCATGTTCTGTTTGAGAGCCAATGCGGCCTGCTCAATTTTCAAACATCCTCAGATCATGGAAGTTCATGATCTTCCGAAGGACTATTTAATGCCTGGATACATGTAAAATTACGGTTGTGTCATTGCCAAAAATGGTGGTATACAGTTTACTGTCTATAAATACATACAAATTGCAATTTTGACATTAAAAAAATTGTGTCATTTTCGATATTGCTCTGATCTGGAATGGTTTCTATTGAAAAAGATAAATGTTGAGTACTTACATTCTATAATACCCAGTAATAAATAATAAAAACAAAAAATAGAAAGAATTGAGGTAGTCATTCTTCTCCAAAATTCTTTTTTTTGATCTCTTCTTTTAAGGTAAGTGAGATTAATATTAGATAGATGATATCTTTTAATTTTTAAGCTCGAACTATTGATATTTTTCAAAATTATTTTCAAATGGGTTTACCCCTTAAAAGTGTTAGGTTTTGCAATTTTTTTTTAGAAAGTTGATTATAATGTCTCCTAGGGCTTATGTGAAGATTATTATATTATTTTAAATTGAAAATCGTAGAATTTGTGGAATGGGTTTGAAACCTAGTTTTGCCTTAACCGAGTTATGATTTTCTTTTTTGGGAAAAGATTTATGCCTATTGGGATGGACAGATTATTCGAATGTTTATTTGGCGAAATAAAACGGGATTATAATGAACTTGTTGGATTTTAATATTCCACTTTTTGATTGGTTAAATTTTGGCAATTGAAACATTTTGAGTTTAAAGCTTTGTTTTTAAAATTTGCCTAATAATATGTTGAGTATTGAGCCAAATTGGTAATTGAAACTACCCGTCGAACCCAATCAACTCGTCGATCGTTTGGATGATAAGGCATAGCCTTCCACCTCTGTGTCTTGCAAACGCGTAAGGGTATACCGGTAGTTTAGCTGAACTAGCTAACCTTAAACTAGAACCCGAATGGGCTAGGTCGAGGGATCGAAATGGCGGGTTTCCTATTTGGGTGATTCCGAGGTGCCCGTCATTCACGATGAAAAAGGTCTTTGGACCGTCATCCGTGATGGAGGGATGAATTGCGTACAATCCCTTCTTGGTATGTTATATTGGAGACTAGAGGGTTATGGGCCGTTTGGCGCCCCTCGCAAACTAATAAATAAATTGACTTACGTGTACTTTGGGCTTCGCACCCTTAAATACATATTGTAGAATTTTCTTTGAGGGTTGTAACCCTATGCTTGTTATGTGTAACTATGTGATGTGTCATACAAAGTAATAATGTTGAAAAACAGGATCGAGCCGGCTCTGATTAAGGCCTAGTGGAGTTTTCTTTGTGATGTGCTCATCACTATTATTTGAGAATGAAAATGAGATATAAGGGAGGTGCTAAAAGACTCGTGGTTGTGAGTTACCCGTATGTGATATGTATCATCTTATTCAAATTATCTCATTCAAATGATTTTGTAGCATTATATCTATTAATTTATCTTCGATTAATTGCGCTTACTCAACCGTTGTGTTGACCCTCTTTTTACAACCTTTTTGTAGGTGATGATGCTTCTGTTATACCTAAATGATGCATTCACGTCATATGATCCATTGGGAGAATTAGAACTACTTTACCTTCTAAAATGCTTTTGAAATTCATTAATTATGTTTAAGAACTAATGTCTTTTGAACTATTTCCAACTTATGTTTTTTTCCTTCTCGAACTTTATTTATTTAATTGATAAGCCGGTGCGCCTTAATTTTAAATTCCTATTTAGTTGTTTGTATTTATTTATTTTAGCCTTAGTGCCACAATGTAGGGTTAATTGGTTGATGAACTAGCCTTCCGGTGTGGCGTGGCGGTGACACTCCGGTTTGAGTCGGCCGGGGTGTTACAGTTGGTATCATAGCTTAGGTTAAAAGACTCATGCTTCTTGATTAATAAAACATGAAGATTTCGAAATTTCTAAAATCAATTAGATCATGGGCTTAGTCGGGTTTGGGTGCATTCATGGCATACATTGTATTTTATGTTTCTTCCGTGTGTTTATGTACCTTGGTTATGCTATTTGATTAGTTAGAGCTTATTAGGTCTAGTCTCGATTAGCAAGATGCCCCCTAGGTGTGCTCGTCAGTCTTCTGTGGCACCTGATTCTGACGAAGAGGTTGAGAGTAGACATTCCCAAAACCCCGAGCCTCCAATTCAAAGTCCCGTTCGACCTTCAGATCCGACATTGGAAATCTTTCATCAATCTATTGGACAGTTCACTCAGCAGCCCCGAAGTGCTATGGATGCAGTATTACCTTATAGTACTCCGACTTTCACTGGTCAATTGGACGCGACTATTTTGGAAGAATGGTTGGATCGTCTGGAGACGATATTTGAGGTGGTGAGATGCCCAAAAGGAGAGAAGACTATGATAGCCGCGTATTACTTGGAAGGATTGGCAAGTAAATGGTGGAATAATGAGAAGGCTTCTGGGAGTAAGCTAGTTGGATTACCGTGGAAGGCCTTTAAAGGGATGATAAGGTCGCGCTTTTACCCCCCACACATTCAGAGAGCAAAGGAGGATGAGTTTAGTATATTGGTGCAAGGTAACGTGACGGTGGAGGAGTACTTCACGCGTTTTAATGAGGTGGCTGCCTATGCTCCGGATTTGGCGGCAAATGATCGATGTAAGTTGATGAGGTTTGTTGGCGGGCTAAACCGAGACCTTCAATGGTTCTTGGCTGGTTTCAGTGTGACGACCCTTCAGGAGGCATACGAGAAGACGGCTAACATTTATCGGGACTATCAGATATAGTATAATGAGCGGAGGGATGGAATCCGCAGGGTAGATAGAGGAAAAGGGAAAGTCAATGAGAGTTTGAAGAACCATCAGCGAGAGGATCAATTGGAGAGGTTCCCGGGTATGCCTTATGCATCTCACCTTAAATTCACCCCTGGAAATTCGAGTAACAGTCATGGCGGTCCGATTGTTTGTAGCCGATGTAGAAAATCTCATCCCAAGTTCGTTGTGATGGCCAGCCCGTCACTTGATATTACTGCCATGAGCCGGGACATGTCAAGAGGTTTTGCCCCAAGTTAGTTGGAGCTCCGAATGCAATTGAGAGGGCTCTGGTTCCGCAGCAGCAAGGACGTATGCCACCAGTGGCACCTCACCATGCGAGAGGAGGAGGAAAGAGTAGCCAGAGAGGTCACATCAATGTTATGACGAGAGGGCAAGCTGTGGAGAACCAGGAGGCATCATGACTAGTACGTTGGTTATCGAGTAGATGGACTAAAAAGTTAGAATTAGATTCTCGAGTAGGGGCTTCGGTAGAGATTATGCTACCTTCAGGAGAGCTAGTGCCTTGTAGTTGTCTTTTCGTAGGAGTGTCAGTCATGATCGGAGACATAGAATTTCCTACTAATCTTTTGAAGCTTAAATTGGCGGAGTTGTTTGAGGTAGCTCCAGACATGCAGATCGATTTCGAGGACGAAATGTCCTAAAGGGGGAAGGATGTAATACCCGGTAAAATAATCGCTGAAAGTTCGCCGGAGTCCAACGCCGGAGTCGGACAATATTATTTTGGGCCTAATTTATTTTGGGCTTTTAGTGTACGAAATTACGAAATTGGGTTTAAATTAGGAGTAAAAATTGAGTTTGGATCAATTTGGGCCCAAGTAGGATAAAATAAATAATAAAGGCCCAAGTCTTTTATATTTAATAAAATATATAAAAAAATAATAATAAAGAAAAAAGACAGAATAGAGGCAGCCAGACGCTGCCAGCCGCCAGCCCCCTCTTCTTCTTCCTTGGAGTTCTTCTTCTGCAAAACTCTTCAGTTTGGTCTCTTCAATTAAGGTAAGTAGCATTAATCTTAGATAGATGATATGTTTTAATCCCTAAACCCAAACTATTGATATTTTTCAAAATTATTTTCAAGTGGGTTTTCTCTACAAGTGTTAGGTTTTGCCAATTTCTTCTAGAAAGTTGATTATAATGTCTCATAGGACTTATGTGAAGATTATTATATTATTTTAAATTGAAAATCGTAGAATTTGTGGAATATGTTTGAAACCCTAGTTTGCCCTAACTGAGTTATGGTTTTCTTTTTGGGGAAAAGATTTATCCCTATTGGGATGGACATATTATTCGAATGTTTATTTGGCGAAATAAAATGGGATTATAATGAACTTGTTGGATTTTAATATTCCACTTTTTGGTTGGTTAAATGTTGGCAATTGGAATGTTTTGAGTTTAAGGCTCTCTTTTTAAAATTTGCCTAATAACATGTTGACGATTGAGTCAAATTGGTAATTGAAACTATCCGTCGAGCCTGATCAACTCGTCGATCGTTTAGATGATAAGGCATAGCCTTCCACCTCTGTGCCTTACAAACGCGTGAGGATATACCGATATTTTAGGATAACTAGCTAACCTTGAACTAGAACCCGAATGGGCTAGGTCGAGGGATCGAGATGGCGGGCTTCCTATTTGGGTGATTCCGAGGCGCCCATCATTCACGATGAAAAAGGTCTTTGGACCGTCATCCGTGATGGAGGGATGAATTGCGTACAAACCCTTCTTGGTATGTTATATTGGAGACTAGAGGGTTGTGGGCCGTTTGGCGCCCCTCGCAAACTAATAAATAAATTGACTTACGGGTACTTTGGGCTTCGCACCCTTAAATACATATTGTAGAGTTTTCCTTGAGGGTTGTAACCCTATGCTTGTTATGTGTAACTATGTGACGTGTCATACAAAGTAATAAGGTTGGAAAACCGGGTCGAGCCGGCCCTGATTAAGGCCTAGTGGAGTTTTCTTCGTGATGTTCTCATCGCTATTATTTGAGAATAAAAATGAGATATAAGGGAGGCGCTAAAAAACTCGTGGGTGTGAGTTACCCTTATGTGATATGTTTCATCTTATTCAAATTATCTCCTTCAAATGATTTTGTAGCATTATATCGTATTAATTTATCTTCGATTAATTGCGCTTACTCAACCGTTGTGTTGATCCTCTTCTTTCAACCTTTTGTAGGTGATGATGCTTCTGTTATACTTAAATGATACATTCACGTCATATGATCCATCGGGGAAATGAGAGCTACTTTAGCTTCTAAAGTGCTTTTGAAATTCATTAATTATATTTAAGAACTAATGTCTTTTGAACTATTTCCAACT